GAGCTACAGTGGCGCATCTCATCCCGTAACTCTCACGGGAGCTTCACAGGTCACTGCCTCCTCCACTTAGGCACCAGTATCTAAGCTGCAGGGCTTGATATATTTCCTTGGCGTATTTGCGTTAGCTGGTTTATAGGAAAAGATATATGTAGGCCATCGACCATAAGGCCGAAGCTCAAAAGGGTACTGAGAGACACAGACCGTTTGCCAACCTGACGGTTCGACCCAGCTCCAGACACGAGCTGTATTCCCAGCTCTGCTTTTATGTCCTTAAGGCACGTTTTGGGACACAAAGCTTTGTAAAACACATTTTAAAGAAGTACGTATTGTTAATTCTGATGCATGTCTTTGGGGTTTTAAAGAGCTTAATACCTGCATCTGCTCTGTAAAAAAAGGATTCTGACCAGTCTGGCTCTCTAAAGGCACCTTTCACAAGCTCTTCAACTTTTCTAACTTAAAAGGAAAAAGTGCCTTAGCCGCCTTGCAATAGATGTACAGAACGGTACCAGGTGGCAGTGGCCTGTGGCGCGCTGCTGTCCTTGCAAGGGGGTAAGAGGAGCCTGAATGAAAGACAATAAAGCAGATGAAAGTCTCAGTTTCAGTTGGACAAGCCCACACAATTCATTAACTGACTAGTCTGCCCAGCTCGTTTATTATCAATTCTGAGTGCCATCCAAGTAGGGGAAGCACCTGTGACGGGGTGTCAGCCACCGGAGGTCTCCATCTAGCAGAGTCCTGCCCGACACAAGCTGGGCAGGCCACCAGCGCCGCTGTCGGGGTGACAAACTTTTGGATAGCAGCTCGGCTTCCCGTCAGGGCTCACTGGATGAATGTGGTCGCAAAGAGGAAGGGAAACACATGTTAAGTATCTTTTTCCTTTCTCATCCTTTCCTCCTGACGGTTGGCCTATAGCTTTGATATTTTAGGATAAAAGTCACTTTCATGATTTACTTAGGTGTTTTTTTTTTTCAATGAAATCCTGTAAAGCTAACCTGAACCCAGGACAGTACTTCTCTGATACCTCTGTTGCTGTCCAGGGAGTTTGTAGGGTTGAAGGTCAGCTCTAGGATCAGCTCTAGGGCTCAGAGACCTCACATGAGTCCCGCTCTGGGGCACTCAGCCTGGGTGAAGGCTTCTCTCTGCCTCTGCATTGAATCATCTCAGATAAGAGTTCCCAACTTCTAGCTATGGTCAGAAGCAAGCAGTTTGCAGGAACAAAATGAAACATTGCAACAGCTTGTCTAAATACGTTATTTTCTGAAGCAACCATTGCTAATGTACACATAGATTTATACTGTCACTTTCTTGAATTAGATTAACATATAGTCTGGACTATAAAAATAATTTGAGTGTAGAATTAATGATAAAGACTTTCCATTTTAAAGCTGACTATTATAATTTTTATATTCTCTGAAAATGATTGCCACTTAGACAAGTCCTATAAGGAGTTTTTAATTTTGTCTTACTTCTCTCGTTGAATATGTTCTTTGATATTGAAGCTGTTGAAAGAGCAGTTTCCATATGAGATATGTAAACATGTGCTCTGTGTAGACAGGGTCTTCACATTTCACAGAAAACTATGACAGTCCTATTCTGGGGCTGAGATTTTTTCCACTGATGGAGTCTGGAGTATTCTGAAGCTGTGTTTAGCAAACAAAGCCAACCTGGAGCCTAAAAATATACATTGCATTTGCAGAGAGCCTGTAAGCCTGTCAAGGTAACTCCTTTGTGATATAGAAAACAAGCCAATACTGTAATGGTTGTACATCTTGGATTTATCGCTCTTACAAAATCCATACCAATGAAATGCAGTGTTTATTGAAAGAGCAAATTACAGTAGTCATACCTGTAGTCACTCTGTGAATCACTTTTTTTTTTGCTTCCTCTTCTGTTGTGTCCTCCTGCCATATCTTGCCTCCAGGGCCAGCCTTTTCTTAAATACTTGCTTTACAAATACTTTCCAGAGCATAGCCATGGTTAATGATGAAATATTCATCCCTGCCCATGACAGGGAGGTTGGATTAGATGATCTCTAAGGTCCCTTCCAGCCTATGCCATTCTATGATTCTATGATTAACTACAAACATCATTATATAATTGACATCTATTCTATATAATAACAATATTAAATGCATGCTTTTTTTTCTTGTTTTGCACATTAAATCAGTGCAAAATCACTACCACTATTTATACCAGCAAACCTAAATTGGGTTTTAACCTAACTTGTGGTACGGTAGTATTAGAATAAGACTCTAAAGACTGAAATAAATAGGTATTTTGCTATCAGTTTGGTTAGCTGTAGTGTTTTTCACTGTAAAAGCTGGTTTACAGATTTTCAGATTTTGCTGAAAAAAAAAGGAAAATCCCAATTTTTGATAACTCAGTATTTGACTTTACTCATGAGGACATAAGTATCTTATTAAAGCTGTAGCTATACATCCATATTTAAGCTCATCTTTGCAAAATATTTAAAGAACAACACTTTAATCTCTTATTTTATATATTTTTTTTAAAGTAACTGCAGTAATGCAAACCTTTCTAGTCTGTGCCTGGTAGTAATCTCTTAGCATCTAGGCCATATTGGGCCAGCTTTGATATTTTTATTCATGTTGAAATATAACAATCCTATTGAAATTTAGCTAGACCATGGAATAAGGTAATACTAAGAGCAATGATACTGGAATGTGGCCTAAAAAAAGATAATCACATTTTATATCCTGTTAAATTACAAGCTGTTCATTGCTTTAATAATATGCAATTTAGACCCAGTGCAATGTGTTCAAATATAATCCTGAAATTAAGATAACCACAGAAGTATGTGTGGTAAAAATTGAAGACCTTCGTTACAGCTGCATAAGAGTGACCGACTTGAGGGTAAGCCAATACAGAACTTAATTCTACATATCTTTGTATTTTATTGCTTGTGCCAAACTGGAGACAGGCTAACTCAAACCTTTACTACTTTTTGTAGGACATTGGCATTTTCAGTATGTATTTAAAGCTTTAAATGAAATTATGTATCTTTTCTCTTTATTATAAATCTTCTGCCTTTCTCTTACATTGAAGTCTTTGGTTGAGTTTCAAACTTGTGAGGAAAAGTTGAGAAAGAGTCTTCATTATGGACCCTTTCAAGCTTTAGTTGACTCATGTCTCAGAGGTATCAACTTTAATAGTGTCTTGATAGAGAAGAAAATCTAGATAACATAAACTGCCCCAAATGCTGCTGAATTACACTCCTCTGGGAAACTCTTTTCTGTGCATCAGGACTGAGGGAAATGCTGTCTCCATTAATGTGGGATGGCAGGACTGATACAATACATTTTCTGAGACATTTGAAAAAACAGAAGTATCTGTCCATTAGAAGAATCTGCCTTACCTTGAGATGGCACTAATATCCAGCCTGTGAGTGATTTGCACACAAATCTAGCAATTTCGTCAGATTTGTCTTCCTAGAAACTTAATTTAGAGATTTTCTATTAATACCAGATACTTCACTATAGGCTTTTCTTCCTACTGTACTTGGCTCCCTGCCACCATTCAGCTCACAGACTCCCATTCCAGATGCCACTAGCCAGAAGAAAAAAAAAAACAGACATAAATAAATATTTATTGTCCTTGACCAAAACCTTTACAGAAGGCCCCCGCTCTTATTAGAGATGTATTTCTCAAGGAGTATATAGATTCAGGAAAAAAAACAAACAAACGAACAAACAAAACCAAAATGAAACAGTATAATCATCTTCACATCCTTCCTCTGTGAATCTTTAGTCACAACTTCTTATATTGTTGATGGAAGTTTACCTCTTAGGAAAGGATAAATGCATTGCCAAATACAACTGGGACACTGCCTTACCAGTCAGTCGATGGCAAAGTTATCAGCTAAATCTGGGTTGCAGGGTATTTATTCTTAGGGATGATGCACAAATCAGAAATAAGGCAACCTGGTTTCAGTCCCAGGAGAAATATGGAATCATAGAATGGTTAGGGTTGGAAGGGACCTTAAAGATCATCTAGTTCCAACCCCCCTGCCATGGGCAGAGAAATCCTCCACTACATCAGGTTGCCCAAAGCCTCATCTACCCTGGCCTTGAACACTTCCAGGGAGGGGGCATCCACAACTTCTCTGGGCAACCTGTTCCAGTGCCTCACCACCCTCAATGTAAAAAATTTCTTCCTTATATCTAATTGAAATCTGCCCTCTTTCAGTTTGAATCCATTGCCCCTTGTCCTATCACTACATGCCCTTGTAAAAAGTCTCTCTCCAGCTTTCCTGTAGGCCCCCTTTAGGTACTGGAAAGCTGCTATAAGATCACCCCGGAGCCTTCTCTTCTCCAGGCTGAACAGCCCTAACTCTCTCAGCCTGTCTTCATAGCAGAGGTGCTCCAGCCCTCGGATCATCTTTGTGGCCCTCTTTTGGACTCGCTCCAGCAGCTCCATGTCCTCCATGTGTTGGAGACTCCAGAGCTGAACACAGTATTCTATGTGGGGTCTCACGAGAGCTGAGTAGAGGGGCAGAATCACTTCCCTCGACCTGCTGGCCACACTTCTTTTGATACAGCCCAGGATATGATATAAGTACCTAAAGCAATTTGGTCCATGGGGAATGTTGGTGGCAACAGCACAGAGAGCTTCCTGATGGAAGGAACTATAGGGGACTACAGGGACTATAACAGAACCAGACAATGCTATTTCTGATACACTTTCGAAACAGGAGGGAGAGAGAGAAAGAAATATTTCAGTCTGTTTTCTAATGTTGCCTATCTGAAATTTTCCAAAATCAACCTGTGTCATAGCCACATTAAGAGCTTAAAACTCTGCATAGCCTTTTGCACAAGAAGGAACTTGCAGACTTAAGGGACCACCTGGTTTCTTAGATCCCTACTTGGATTGCAGTGTTGCAATCAATGCACACAGGATGTAGGAAAATCCCATGGAATGGAAACTCCTGTAAGAAATGCTTGTGGTGTTCAAGACAACGGATGAGTGTTTGTATTGAACAGATCTCCCTTGTTTGGAACAGAAGAAACAGCTCAACCGCAGAGCGTGCTGCCTCCTCGGCCCTCCTCCACCGCCCCTGTTCCCACCACCGTACTTCAGGCATGGCTGGAGCACTGTAAGTGTGGCCCGGGAGCCTTCCTTTTCTTTTTTACATGACTTTTTGCATTTGACAAAGACTGAAGTATCCTCTCGAGCACCGCTTCATGGTGTCACTCATCAAACCCATCTGGCTGTGTTGATGTGGCTCTGTTAGGACAATGATTCAAATCCCAGACTGGAGCTCCAAGTAAATCTCAGATAGATCAAGGAATGAAACTAGGCTGTGTCTGTTCGGTTCAATTAGCCTAAAATATTCTCCTTACTCTTGGGAGCTTTCTTAGAGTAAGGGAATGGCAACGCAATAAACCAAGTAAGGGCAGAAATGCAATTTCCCATCCTACATGATGATTTCAGAGTGTATGTTATACGTGTCCTGTTTTGTATCATATTTGCTTTACCCAGTAGGTGGAATAAAAGTCCCAAAATCCTCCTGTGGAAACTATTCCCACCATTTCTTTTTGCAGAAAGTCACGTTTGAGTTGCTGGTATGGAGTTTTCAGTCACCCACCTATGCATTTACCTGCTCTGTACGATATGTATCCATCCACGTATGTTATATGCAACGTAAAGGATACAATGGGTATATGATATAACAATTTGCCCACTTACACTTATTGTCAGGGTCTGTTAACTCCCATATATTTTCCATCCCAACATTAAGAATTTTTCTACCTACTCAGTAATTCCTATTTCTTAATTCTACTATTCATTTACCATATACAAATTCTGCAATTATTGCTAGTGTATGTAAATAATTATTAGTAAGATGTCTGACAAGAACTAACCCAAGAAAAATACAGTGTATAATCCCCCAATGTCTTCAAAGAGAACAGGATTACACTCAGGGTGCAATTCCCCTCAACACAAAATCTCGTTGCCTCCCCCTGCCTCATCCCCTCTCTTCCCCATTTCCACAGAATGGAGACCCAGAGACAAGATCTCTTTCAGAAATGTGATGTGCTCTATCAGCGAAGATGAGGTTAGGACCAGGGTCCCTGAGATTCCTCCAAGCTGCCCAGAGTAATCTCAGTGTAAAATCACCCTTCACACCATCTCCCCCATAAAAACACAAAATAAAACTAAGTAGTTACTAGGAGGGTAGGAGCCACATGAATTTAGTGTGAGCAGTTTGTGCTTTGGAGTTTCTAGTTGGAGCTTTTCTGGAAAACGGCTTTGCACTTAGAAGCTGAAGATCGGTGGTGTTAACCCGGCATTTCTGGCTCAGCGCTCGTCTACGTTCCAGGGGAGGCCGCTTTTGTCACAGGACGTAAAGAAGGCAGTTTACTCATGCAAGCCTAGCTTTGAAATCAAAAGATTAGGCATTTGTTGGTCTTTAAAGGCATCATCAGCTCCGGTCTGCAGTGAATGAATGCCTGCAGGTTATGTCTTCTGGAGCGAAGTTCATGCTGCCTGTACCCCGGCTGAGCAGAGTCTCTATTATTAGAGCAAAGACTCTATTCTTGGAGAGGAGCTGCTACTTGTAAAGTGGGACGGAGAAAGCAGGGTCACGTCTAAGAATAGGCCAGGGTCCCACGCTGGCTCAGAGGGGCATGCGACAGCCTGGCTGCGACACACCTCTGGGAGGGGGGGAGAGGAGGAGGAGGAGGAGGAGGAGGAAGTGTGGGACAGGACGCTACGCTCAAGTGCTAATGTTCAAGCATCCGTGAAGATAACCTTGTGACAAAGCCTAGGCTTCTCCCTAAGGAGGCAAATAAGCTCTCTTGAGGCTGTAGTGTTTGGTGGCTGTGTATTTATGTGTTTCTCCAACTGGCTGTGTATGGCTGCATGCTCACTCGTGTGTTTTATGTTACATAGAAGCTGCTTGCCCTGGATATGAAAGACTTATGTCAGGAGCTCCAGATAATACAGGCTTCCCCTCTGCCCGAACCACATTGCCCTGCAGGACCTCCTGGCCCCCAGGTGAGTTATTAAACCACATTGTTCTCTCACTTGTTCCAGAGGTCATTACAAAGCTGTAAAACATCTTCTGCAAAGGCTTTTTACCACTTAATAAGCATGCCAAGCTCTGGCTTAATTTCGTTTTCATATAAATATGCATAAATCATGTAGACTTTTTACCCTATATTCTCATCCCTGCCTCACATACGCCGGTCAGTTTCAAATTCACCCTTCATTTTGATGGAGTTTTACAGTGGGTAGCACCCATCAAAAATCCCAGAGGTGCCATCACTTCCTTTAGAGGCTCTTTGCTAGTTTTTTTCTTTGCTTTAGACTCTGTTGTCCTTTATGTGAGGGCAAGAACCTGTGGTGTGGATGCGCAAGAGACGCAATGAACTTGAATGTCAGTGGAGTACATCCCTCAGAATGTCAACACCTACAGTAAACGTCAGAGACAAGGAGAGGAGGGCAGTAGGATGGGATTCAGGAGACGTGAGATCTCCTAGCTTGACCTGCAACATCTCTGCCTCTGACTTGCTGAGTAGCCTTGGGCCAGTCCTTTTGACCTCCCATTACATTTTCTACAATTCGTACATTCAGAAATCTTCTGAGGGAGGTCAGAAATCTGCTGAGGAAATGGTCCTCCTCCAGGGGAAGGGTTTTGTGAACATCTCTGTAGTGTGGAGAAGATCACCCATCTGCCTTTCTGTTCCAGTTCATTCCCTCCAAAGAAAAACACAATTTTTCATGGAGAGGTATTTCCAGTTTCTTCTGAGGCACAGGCGGTCTCTATCTATATACCATGCCTGGTGCTTTGGGACAGTGATCTTCCTCAGGGCCCCTGAGTGCCAGTTTTATTACAGTACAGCTAATAGCAGACATGGCACGGGATCTTTGCTGCAGCAAAGCTGTGACTGAGGCCTCAACAGCCTGAGAAGTTAACAAGCACCCGAATACTATTTAAAAAATTTGGACAATATCACAGTAAAGGTTCAGTTATGCGGCACAAAAGCTTAGTTTTAATTATGTTTAATTATGTTTAATTATTTGTCCTGTCCTGTATTGAGAAAAGTCTTCTCTGCATTATGAAACTGCCCTGCAGTGTGGTTGATCATGATCCGGAGATACAGTCCATGTGAAAGAAACAGTTGTTATTTCGGTCTTCACTAGACTGTCTTTTTTTAAAAAACCCTCTTAATACTCTCTCAGACTTAAGTTAGAAGAACAGTAATATTAATTCTATTATTCTACAAGGTCCATTGCTATAAATCATATTCATCTTGTAACCAAAGGATCTATGATCCCTCCAAGAATATTTTTAAATAGAGTAGGCTGGCAGATTTTATCACAATGTCAGACAGCAGGGTGAGTATAACATGGCTTTGGAATTTTTAATTAAAAATTACAGAGCTATGTCTTGTAATGGGACAATGTTAGAGCCAGCAGTCCTCTGGGCAATACTTTTATGACAACAATCACCTGAAAAGAAATGCTGCCATTACAAAAAAAATAATATCTAAGTACTTCTGAACTCTTTTCTGCTGTAACTTGCATAACTTTCAAAGGAGTTGTAAAAGCTCATACTGTTGAGTCAGAGCTGAATTTTAACACTTTTTCATAAGGAGAATTACATTTGTAATTATATAAATCAGAGTATAATTCCTCCTATGTGTAACCTAAAGTAAAATGAAAGAAATAAGATAAAATTTGGCTCTGACTCTGAGTGCATTCTGATTTATGCTATTGAGAACCTAAAATAACTCTACCGACTAAAATAGTTGTAGTAAGTTGCATTTGAGTGTACACTTTTCTCCTATGTACAATATATAACATGTTTTGGACAGTATAAGATAGCCAAGATCCAAACCTGGAGTGAGTGATTTATATGGTGAATCTAGTGATCCTCTAATGCAGGCTCATGGGATTCTTTTCCTTAGAAATTCAAAAATAAAATGTGGACTGTGAACTGAAACACTCTAGAAACACTGGTTTTCTGATTTTTTTTTTCTGAGAGGGATTCAAGGTCTACCTGGATTAAGAAGTCTCCTGAAAGGAGAATCAACCTTATTTGAGAGAGAGAAATATTCAGAAGCGGTGTCAATCCTGCCTGTCCATACCACACTGCAGAACCCATCCCACATGTTTTATGCCACTTCCCTTACCACCCCTTTGGCTGACCTCCTCTTCCAGCTGACGCGGTGTCTCCATGTCCTCATTGTCACTAATTCTTCAGGACCCCAATAACATCTCATCTTTCCGATGCCTCAGGTCTTTATTCTTGCTAATTTTCTTCATCTAGAAGATGACCCTGCACTTCTCATGTCCAACTCTCCAGCCTGCCTCAGCAGTGGCACAGACCTGGCATTTAGAGGTCACATTCAACATCCAACACCCCAACCTTGGGGGTTCACACTATTCCCAGGAGACAACCACAGGGCCATGGGTTGAGGGAAGGCAACCACCAGTGTCTTCTTACTAATGCATTCACTTTTGTCTCTAGGGTCCACAAGGAATTCCTGGTATAATGGGACCAAAAGGGGAGAAAGTAAGTGTCTGTATTACGGAGTTTGGTGTATTTTTGAGGGGGCAAAGAGGGAGATGGACAGGCTTGTGTTCACTTTTTTCCTTGTCTGTTGAGTCAGTGGTGAGCCTTTTGGATTGGGGATTTGCTTTAATTTGGATTTAAAGCTGCCAATTTGTTTGAAGCTACAATTTAAATCTTCACGTTCATTTTCAATCTTGAAATATTTCTTATGGATTCTCATGATAGATACCTACATCTATGGTATGTGTTAGGAAAGCAGCTCAGGTGCACAAGTCAGTGATCTTACTGATCCAACAGCCTTTGACCACCTTGTGTCTCTGGGAGGACATGAGAGGCAGAACTCTTCCATGCAATGTTAATTGCATGGTTCAGCTCAGATATTAGAAGTGGTCTATATGTTAAATTATGGCTTCAGATCTGCAAAGCATTTGCTCCATGATGATGCTTAAGGAACCTTATATGTGAAGCTGGGCACGTAATTACATGCTTTGCCATACAAGGATGTGGCCGTAGATTTAGGACTGAAAACACAGGAAAAACCAAGGAGCTCCACTAAAGCAATTCTTCTTATTTTACCTCTGGAAGCAAAGTCTTGAATGCAAAAATATTCCCAATTATATTTTTTTTTAATAAATGCATTAACTAGTGAGCCACTGTGCTTTGAGTGGTGCCTATGAGACTAATATATATCTTTCTTTGACAGGGAGAGATTGGCAGGCCAGGAAGAAAGGTATGAATGAAGGTGCTGTCTCAGACACCCGTCTAATTCTTGACACATAGCAGCTGTAAGAGTGGGGTAGGGACAATAGTTCAATAAAAACTAGCTAACATTGAAGTTTAACAGGTTTGTGCTGCTTCCGTTGGTACCCAGGTTGGGTGGTAGGGAGCTCTGGGTGCAAGGCTGGAGAGCTGGGCCCTTTGGCTGGTTTGAATTCCACAAATTCCCTCAGTAAGAGCACGCAACTCTGGCCAGACTACTAAAATAGAGTGAGAAATTACCCAAACTATGTCTCTGTGAACAGGGGAAGCAGAGTATGGGAGCTATAGTAGAAGGTATATTTTAAAAAGCCCAAAGCATAATCAAACTTTTTACTCCTCCAAAGTCTAAACAAGGCTCAAATACCCCCGAAGGGGGAATAACCATTAATGATCACACTTACAGGGTTTTGGCACCAATGCGATACACTGACTGTAATCCTATGTCTGGTGACATATGAGCCATGATATATTGTCAAAAATATGTGTCCCTACATGTGATGAAACAGAATATGTTATCTCAGTCACTAAGTACCTCCATTTAATGTAATTAACTTTAAAAGAAGATAGAAATGCAGGATGAAATCAGAGATATGCAGAGGGTAGTCACTAACCAGGAAAAGAAGTACTCTTCCAATAATACATCAAGGATTTTAACACCAAATGTCGTGATGACATTTCTAAGATCATACTGTCAAGTGGCATAAAGCAGTGGGATAGCACTAATCTGCAGCGGTTTAGGAGATACTCACGGAGTGATTTACAGGCAGTAATCAAAATAGACAAATAACTGTATGTATATAGTTATCGCTAGTTATATAGTAGCTAATAAAGAGCAATTATAGATAGTAATATGAGAATGCTCAGAATAAGAAAAACAGCAAGTAAAAAAATCTTAGTTAAAGATTTGGTTCTATTCTTCATATAAATTGGGATCATACTGATACAACCACATGCAGGTCTTCTTGATTTACATTGTATTATTAAATGAGAAGAGGATTTAAGTTACTGATACTGGTTTTTTAGGATGATTATTTTGACTGCATTTAGATTTATTCCATAACTGATCTGCTTATTTGAATCAGTATAATTTGGTATTGCTGTGAGCCCACACTTCCTCCAGTAGCATTAACACAAACTGTATCGTGAATATAATATAGTACTTTTTGTATTAAAAACAAGGTAAAGAAGCATTTGCAGTTCTTTTCCTGAAAAGACTTTATTTCTCTCTATCTCCTGTCTGCAGTGGAGGCTTGTGTATAGGAATGATGTTACATGAATTGTTGTAATCGATGTTTTCCGTTCAAGGGTAGATCAGGTGCCCCGGGCGTTCCTGGGATGCCAGGACCAGTAGGATGGCCTGGACCTGTGGGACCGAAGGTAAGACTAAAATTCACATGGGGTCATCTGTTCAACATCACGATCTGAACACAACAGTCGTCTCAAGAAGTCTCTAAACCACTATCTGCTGGAGGCTGGGAAGCTGCGGCAGTGCAAGGACACCCTGTGTTTGTCCCATTTCTTACACTGCCCTGCAAAGACCTGCCCAGTCTAGGGTTAGGTTACTGCACCATCAGCCTAGCCCCTGTAGCACTTCTTATGCTGATTAAAATACATGAAAGGGAAATTGAAAGTCCATCTAACGAAGACTCATTGATAACCACTGGTGTCTCACAATCACAAAAATCAGTGTTTCAACATCGATCATCATCTGTGTGACTGCCCTTTAGGATGATCTCTTTGCCTGAGTGTGTACTTCTTGACAATGTAACTGTGTGCCCATGTGATCACAGGCAAAATGTCAGATTAGTGTCGGGGGAAAGAGATTACAAACCACGTGAATTGCTGATCAGATCTTTGAAGTTCGTTCCCATACAAACATTAATTCCTGTAATTTTTCATAGCCAACAGCAGAAGAAATGTCAGGATATGCTTTGCTACTGCAGAGTGGTTGCTTTATCTGTGTTTATTATAAATAAATAAGCTGAAGGACAGTCCTTTACTGATTATTATCTTATGCAAAAGGTATACAGCTCTTCACAGGAAGCACAGTATATGGAGTTTCTACTGGGACTTTTGAGATAACTCACTTTTTCAGTCCAGTACGCATCAGGCAGAAGGATTGCACACCATGTTTAGTTTGGAGCTGCATTTTCCAGTAAATCTTTGAGTCTTCATTTGCTCCATGAAGGTTCGTGCCCACACCTCAAAGGATATGATGCAATAGCTCTTGCTATTGCAGACTTCTGAATTCAAGCCACATCTGGGAAGCAGACCCTCAAGCTCTTCACAGCTATGTTAGATGAGGAACATCATATTACAGTATGTGGGAATGTAGACAAGCAACAAGAGACTAAGTACAAAAAAGGATCCAATGTTCACTTTGAACTGTGATATGAGAAATGGTGTCCCCCAAAATGCAAAGTGCTGTGATTTCTCACAGTGGGAGCAGTGAGGGCACAAGGAAAGTCCAGCTGCCTTGGTTTCTCAGAGTCTAATTACTGAGAACATAGCAGTAAGAAAACACATTTGTTTGTCCTTTTCCTTACATAAGTTCTAGTTTTATTTATGAAGTCTTCCTAATTTCATTTTATCTCCTTTTTATCTATTCTTATAGTTTTTCATCACACTCCTAGAAGCATCCCTCACATTCAGTAGTAATACTTTTTCCTATACTTTGACTGCAAGTCCTACTTGCTGTTTGATTCCAGTTCTTCTGCTTTTACCGCCTCCTCTGATACCTGTCTCCTCTGTTCTTTAGATGAGTTCATACTTCTGGTCTTTATAAATTTCAGTTTCCTGCCTGTCAATGAAGGGTCCAGTTGAATAGAGGTCAGCAGATCCCTGTGCTCACTTGCCTCAGTTGTGTCTTTCTCCTTTCTCTTCTTCTGATCTTTGATCTTCCCAAACTCCTCATACTCATCTTCACTATATGAAGTCATTTGATGCATCCTCTTTTTGCTGTAGATCTCCAGTAAGCTGTTGTTTGTTTGTTTGTTTGTTTCTCATTCCCATCTCTGTGCCTTCTGTTTCTTCAGCTGAGTCTTCTTACTTGTTTTCTCTTTCTTTGACACAGCCTTGGTCCAACCCTTATTTCTTCTACTTTGTTTCTTCAAGTCTTTTCTGAACTTCTGCTGGGACAGCAGCCAATGTGAAAATCTTCACTACTAGGACAGTGAAAGCCAAAGGAGAATGAAAGTCAACTGTATTCTGCTGATAGGGCTGCTGCATGTCTGCAGGCACTACTCTGTATTTCACCCTAGATATAATTAGCTGGCAGCAGCCAGAGAAGTTGTTGTAGAGCCTTTTCATGATTTACTGGCTCTAAACCACTGTAAAGCACATGAAGTCTCAGAACTAGAATAAAAGTAATTGCTATGCCTCCCCAGGCCATAAAGGCTTTCAGCAAAATAGTTTTCTGCAGCTCAGTGGAAGCAATGCTGGGTAGAGACAATGCATCTTCATGCAGTAAAAGGATGCACTGCTGCTGCTAATTTGCTTGCAGGTCCTTTAATAGCATCTGACAAAACTGAAGCACAAGTTACGCACCCAAGAAAATGCAAATAGAAGAATAAGATAACATATGAGGACTCAGGCAGAATACAATTGCAAGATAGACCTCTGACTACAAAGCTGCCCCAAGGTCAGGCTTGTCTCACCTATCTGACATAAAACCTGAACTGCTAAACCTTCAGACATTCAAATATGACCTTGTCAGAGAGCCACAATCAATAACTCTCTTTATTGACCCCTTTAGGGTGAAAAGGGAGAGTTGGGTGTGATGGGATTGCCAGGTACAAGAGGACCAATGGGCTCCAAGGTTTGTTAACCAAATGCTGCATTTTCAGACATTGGTTTCTAATGCTCTGCTGACAGCTGCTTCCCTCATGAATTTGCTGGAAAGCATTTATCAAGATATGTCTTTTCTAATACAGCTAAAAAGATATATTCTCCTTCAAGCGAGATTATGTTGTCTGGTTGGGCTTGGCTGTGGTTTTGGCTTTTCATAAAAATGCTTTGGTGTAAATGACTGTAATGCAAAAATTTGTTTTAAAAGCAAAACTCGTATATAATTGCATCCCAGTAGAAAACTGGAGTTCTTTGGTGAATCTACAGCATTAACTTGTGTCTGCAATGTTTTCCACCCGCCTCATAAAACTGTGGAGACCAGTTTGGTCCTCTACTAAAACTATGCATACGTATTGGTAGTTGGATAGTAAGCACGATTAGGTCTGGATGTTCCAGTATCTGTACATCACTGTCTGTAGCATAGCCTCCATCTTTACAAATTTAGGCCACAATATTTTAAGGTTCTTGAAAAAAAATATTTGATTAGTTTATTCAAATAAAAGACTGGAAAGAAGAACTGAGCACTGTGGCTTATTGTATGTTTCTTAAAGAGAAACTCAGTTTCTCAGTTTTATAGTAATCTTCACATTAGATTACTTAAGAATAATTTAAAGATGTTCCGGGGTGGGGGGGGGCAGGAACAGAAGAGGAAGGTTATTTTAAAATTATTTTAGAGTATTAATTGTGATGTCTAAGTCTTTGTTCACTTTCAGTTACATTTTATTTCCCTTGTTTCAATTTTAAAAGCAATACAAAACCTGCTGGCTTTACCTGGCTTTTTCACATTGGCTTTGGGGCTGAGTTGTCTTGCCTTTAATTCATATTTCATAGTTCTGTTTCAGTGCAATTTTAGAAGCTATAAATATTGATTTGCATTTACAAGTTGATGCAATTAATTATTTGTGCTTCATTCTTTTTCTTCACTTTAAATTTTGAAAGTCCTTCTTCTTGGATAATCTTGAAAATGAGGAGCGTTAAAATATCTATCTTTCCCTTTAGGGTTTTCCTGGAACTAGAGGAGAAAAGGTCAGTGTGACAATAGAATAATGTATAATTTAACAATTGGAAACAGTTATGTAAAAAAAAGTATCTTAGAAATGAGGTTGAATTTTCATGGAGTCTAAAAGTCTCACTGAGAAATTAAAACAAGCATTGAGAAGGAGCACAGTCTTGTGGCTTGGGCTGGGATGCTAAAGAAGTGAGTTTTACACCCTGTCTTCTTATGAACAAGGTACTACAGTGCACCTCACTACAGTTTCCCCATCTGTAGAATGGGTATAATAATCCTTAATTGTTGGTCTGGTTTATTTAGTATATATACTATACATACACTTTGGCACAGAGAGTTTTTACTGTAAGACCATATAGTGGGACCTGAACTGGGATGAAGCCAACTGGGGAAAAAAGTCAAGTTTGGAAGTGTTATGTCCAGGAAAGCATGTATTTAAAATAATTATCTGAGGAGAATTAGTCCCTTTTCTTACAAGCCTTACTCTTAATTCTGTTATAATATTTATTAAAGTAATAAGGAAAGATTTCAGGGTGTCTACCATATACCTTACTCTGGAGATATTACTGTGTTCTGTGTGACTCCAAATAACACCTCCTGTAGGAGAAATGTTTTTTGCTTCCTTGTGAAATGGTAGTAATTAAGCTGTTGTCACCTGTTATCTCTCTCCAGGGATCCAGAGGTGACAGGGGTGACAAAGGAGTCAAAGGAGACCAGGTAATTTTCTTTTCCAAATGGTTGTGACCTTTAGCTGAATGTGCACGTGAGCAATAATGTACTTGTGATATAGCAAAAACCAGGAGTGGCATGGAGGAAGGGAGCCTGGAGGCATCTTCCTGGGAGAAGAGTGGTCCTACCTGACGGGAGGGCAGTAGGGCAGCCTCTGTGTCCATGTGTCCCCCAAGCCCCTGTGCATAGCAGGGTGACAAGGCAGACAGGGATTTCCCTGGAGGTAACCTCAGCCTCTCCTGGGCTGTGCAGTCCAGAACCACGACGGCTTGCCAAAATGCTTTTGGCTGGTGATATGATAATACTGTGAAGAGGGGAAGAAAAAAAAAAAAAAAAAAGAAGACAAAAAATAGTGCGATGAGATTCTTGACTTGAAGGTTCTTTCACAAATAAACTGCTTTTGATGTAAATGGAGAAATGCCATTCCCAAATGCAGGTTTTGGGATTTGTCCAGGTAGCAGGTTTGCCAGTCGACAAAGCACAAGTGGGATGTTTTTGCTGGAGAAGAGGAATCAGGCAGTAGAGGAGCACATGAAAAAGCAGTGTTACTGTACAAGGGGCTTTACAGTAAAATTTTACTTAAGATTTTCCACCTACTGCATCACTTGCAGTTCTGAATCACAGTACGAGTTTTTTTTATCAATACCGGTGCATAGCACTTGTTTTATTTCCGTCCAAGGAAGGTACTGCATTGTCAAAGAAAGATCACTCCACTTTTGATGATTTTTCTTTCACTTTGTAGGGAGAAATTGGCTTCCCTGGAATGCTGGGACAAAAAGTAAGTGGGCATGATGTGTTGGGGAGTTGCGTTAAGTGCTGGCATAGGGTCAATGAATGTCTTCAGGGCCATCCTGGGAAGTAAAAGGCATTGAAGGTCTTTCTTGACTCAATGACCAACACTTATCGGACTTGATCAAATTCTTTAGGCTTTTTATCTTAAGAGAAATCTCTGAGATTTAACTGGTTGTTGTTATTTGTCTTTTTTCCCAGAATATTAGCTTAGTCATAATCTTCCTCCTGTTTAACATATTCAAACTCTTGTTTATAGGTTCATAACTGGCCTAATTGTTTGGGGTTTGTTCACTTGAACCTAATAAATATTTCCTTCTTGATGTTCTGAATTGAAATGGTGCTACTATAAACAGCAATGATAATCCTGACCAGTTTTGATATCGTCATCGTTCTGTACTTGACAATCACAATTCAGATGTTGTTTTATAGACAGAAATTCTAAAGGAGGATAACTTTATGACATAATCACATCTTATGTCTGAAATTAGGATAAGAAAATAATAGTTGCTTCTAAGGAGGCTAGAAGACGAGTGATTTCATCTCCCTTTCCCTGAGTGACTTAATTACACATCCATCTTAGCTGCAAAGGAAGATATTGCCAAAAGGGTCAGAGAGTTTTGCTAGCCTCGACCCCTCCAAGTCTCCAAGCATGTTTCCAACCTCTCCATTTGTCTTCCTCTTTAGATAATGGATTTTTCAGGGAAATTTTGGTACATTGTGAGAGATATTTTTCACTTTATGCTTGTTTTAAAATATTTTATTAGAGTTTTGATGTTCTGAGAAACAAATGGTGCCAGCATTATCTAAAGGAATTGTGTGAATTAGAGCACCATCCGCCTGCTGTCTTGTATAAGGCAGATATAACCAAGGTAACATGCGTTTCTATACTTATGTCCTGCTTCCTTCCCCACCAAGGGAGAGATGGGCCCAAAGGGACAATCCGGAGTACCAGGACACAGAGGACCTATAGGAAGACCTGGAAAACGAGGCAAACAAGTAAGACCACGGCATTTCCCCTTCCTGTCCCTCTCAACATCTGTGTGGCTGCGGCATACGACCGTGCGGTCTGTGCTCTCGTAGTATCATGCACTTTGTCACGGCGGGAGCGGGCAGAAGCTCTGAAACACCTCACACAGATGCACAGGGGTGTGCCTCAGCTTTAGGGCTGGAGCCTTATCTGCAGCATTCAGCTCCCTGGCTGCACAGCATGGGGGAAGTTGTATTTTCCCTGGATTGGCAATGAACTCATTGAATATAACTTGAGCAGACCTTGAATGCCCTCTTTGAATCCTAAGCAACACAAAGCCGCAGTCCCCATCCCACCTGATGGATGGCTAGAGAGTTGGAGCAAGGTCCAGGTCTCAGACAGTGTGGGGTGTAACACTGTGGGGACCTAAAATTTTTAGATCCTTAGCCCTGAGGCTGACTTAGGGAGCAGCGCTGCTCAATCAACAGGCAGCTTGGTAGGCTGCCATGCCAAATAGGATGTATCCAAAAGTCAACACGTTTCAGACTGCCCAGGTGCCATCCTCTGCTCCTAATGAACAGGTTCCTGGGATGAGCGAAGGAAGGTTTGTAGGAAAACACTGGGTTTCTGGGACTCTGAATGAGGGAAGAATTGCTGTGGATGTTACAAAAAACAGCCTCCTCTCCTCAGCTCCGGGCTCAGAGGTAGTGTCAGCATCTTACAAGGGACATCTCATTGCCTGTCCATGAATTTTCTCCCTGGCTTACCAGTGCAAAGAGCTACACTACTTCTGCTATCAAAAACATTGCTTGTGTCCACTGGCAGTAGCCGCCTGTACGCTAAGAATGGTATGCTGTAATGGATTAAACTGCTATGAGACCTGTGGCAATGAAAACCACCGGTCTACACATTCACACCTCAGTCCTGTATCACACTGTAACACACTCCTGGTTTCTAGCACATGCACTAAATGTAGATCCAGTGTCTGTTCAGGCTCTGCCCTTGCTTCCAGACCTGCCTGGAGAATGCTTTCCAACTGGGTTGAGCTAGGCTTTGCCCAGGCCAAAGTATTGGTGAACACAGACCAGCTTGCAGAGCCACAAGGCTTTGGAGATGAGGTACTGGAACAGGTTGCCCAGAGACGTCATAGATGCTCCATCCCTGGAAGTGTTCAAGGCCAGGCTGGATGAGGCTTTGGGCAACCTGGTGTAGTGGAGGGTGTCCCTGCCCATGGCAGGGGGGTTGGAACTAGATGATCTTTGAGGTCCCTTCCAATCCAAACCATTCTATGATTCTATGTCCAGTGCAAAGAACCAACGCACTAAAATATCCTCCCTGTTTCTCCCATTTTCTCTGTTAACACTAAACCAAGATTGATTTGTTAGACTGGATATTGATGTGGTGATTCTCACCATAGTACTGCCTGCCAGGAACATGTTCTTCTGCTCTGAGCAATGTCAGGAAGACATATAGTGACCTTAAGGTATGGTAATCTTGTATGGAAGATGTTCAGAAATGGGATGGTTGACAAATGGTCCTTATTTGAGAGCAGCCCTGAGGAAAAGGAATTGGGAGTGCTGGTGGATGAAAAGCTCAACATGAGCCGGCAATGTGCACTGGCAGCCCAGAAAGCAAATCATATCCTGGGCTGTGTCAAAAGAAGTGTGGCCAGCAGGTCGAGGGAAGTGATTCTGCCCCTCTACTCAGCTCTCGTGAGACCCCACATAGAATACTGTGTTCAGCTCTGGAGTCCCCAACACAAGAAGGACATGGAGCTACTGAAGCGGGTCCAGAGGAGGGCCATGAAGATGAGCCGAGGGCTGGAGCACCTCTCCTATGAAGACAGGCTGAAAGAGTTGGGGCTGTTCAGCCTGGAGAAGAGCAGGCTCCAGGGTGATCTTATAGCAGCTTTCCAGTACCTAAAGGGGGCCTACAGGAAAGCTGGAGAGGGACTTTTTACAAGGGCGTGTAGTGATAGGACAAGGGGCAATGGATTCAAACTGAAAGAGGGGAGATTTCGATTAGATATAAGGAAGAAATTTTTTACATTGAGGGTGGTGAGGCACTGGAACAGGTTGCCCAGAGAAGTTGTGGATGCCCCATCCCTGGAAGCGTTCAAGGCCAGGTTGGATGGGGCTTTGAGCAACCTGATCTAGTGGAAGGTGCCGTTGCCCACGGCAGGGGGGTTGAAACTAGATGATCTTTGAGGTCCCTTCCAACCCTAACCATTCTATGATTCTATGATTTAGGGCTTAAAATAATTAAGCTGGTGGAACTATTTTTCTCAGACTTTCAGATGAGTTGTCAAGATTAGAAATTGTGTGTAAATTTGACACTGACTACTCCACTATAGCATTTTCCAAGGAGGAGATAGCAATATTGCTATAGTTACCTGTTAAAGTCAACAAATGGGCCTCTCTGAGTGCATCTTTCTTTGTGCATTTATTTTAAGCAACGATATCGGGGATACAAAGGAGACCGGTTCCTAGTGCTCTGAATTGCCACCTGCAGAGCCTGTTTCTTTCTGCTGACTGACAGGGAAGAGAACCTGTTCTTGCTAGACCAGCTTTGGTGTTAATGTGCATCTGCTCGGATACAGGAGCTCGTAGACATCGTGGTTAATGGGCTCAGCTGAAAGCATTTTATTTGCAGTCTGGATATTCCCAGCATTGCAAACAGAGGCACATGCCTGCCTCACTGTTGCTCTGATGCCATCAGGTAATATCTGAAGTGAAAGTATAGCCAGTGTGGGGAAAAATTAAAGATGGGTGTTGGGGAGGGAATAATAGGTCACCAAATAAAGAAGGTATGTGCAAGATGACCCAGAAGAAATATTTTTTTGTCCTTGATTTGTCAGTTTTTAAAAGCTGATGCATGCTCTTTGCTGGTTTGTTGTTTTTTTAAAAAAACTGTGCTCGTCTGTCCTGCCAAAGTAACATGCACAGAATGTTTCTGTAGTATGAGGCAAAGAGAAGATATAGTGCCTGCAGATCAACTTGAATACAGTGCACTCCTTACTTGACCTTAGGTGTTTTGTCACATTACAAAGTGTCTTAATCAAAAAGTGGTGATGTAAACTGCGTGATAATTTAAGGCAACAATCTGTGACTAAAAGAACTGCAGTCTGGCCCTAAATTGCAATTTCCAGGCAATTTCAGCATTTTTTTCTACAGGAAAACAGGGCTTCCCTCTCTAATTGGTGAACTAGCTATTTCCTTTCTTTGTTTCTAATCCTTTGAAAAAACTTGAGAGTGGCACTTTAAGGCTCTGTGGCTCTGGCTGCTGCCTTTAAGAGCTGTAGTTATGGTCTGGCTGTTTGTTCAGCTGAGACGATACAGTTCCCATCAACATGGGGCCATTTCCTGTCTCTTCATCCAGCTGACAACCCTAGATAAAAGCTGCTAAATTAGGAAGGTGTCACTTCCACTTCCATTTTGAGATACGTCTTGATTATCCCACTGACATCTTCAGCTCTCCTCTGCCTCTGAAGCAGCCTTCCTTAAAGGTGGCCAAAAGGTGGGAGTCACAAGTCACAACCTCACTGCTGTCTAACTGAGATATAACACCCAAAGCTTTGGAACTTGGGAATTGACCCTAAGCAGCAAGTTTAGGGTTTCAGCCTTGATAAGGAGGAATGACTTGGAGCTTTAGATAACGTTACTTTGAAAGAAGGGAGAGGAATATAAACATTGTCCATGGAAAAAACTTTTCTGAATGCCATGGGTGTACGTGAAGAGAAACAAGGCAAAGATATTTAGTATAAATCTCTGCCATTATTATTTAATCTATCTGTGCCAAACAAGAAAACATTAAGCAATCATTCCTTCAAAGCAGAACACACAGCAGACAGCTTGTTTTCAGGCAGTACATGACCGACTGGCCCTAGCTTGCCTCTGCCAGATCACTGTTGTGTGGGGGAAAGAGATTTCCCACAGGCTTCTTGGGGGCTACAAAATCCTGGTCTGCCAGTTCTCTGTTGCGTAACGTAAGAAGTAATTAGGGACCAGCCTTGCTGACATTCACATAAATATTGGAATGTTTTGATGGCACAGAGCTTTCCTAATAGGATTAAAAAAAGCAAATATCCAATTAGTTCTCTATGGGCCATGACAAAATCAACCTTCCTCTGTTGAAATGGTGCAAGTGACATTCAAACATATCCATGGGATACAACGTATTATATAACAACAAATTATTTTAGCATATATTACTATATATGCTTCATTACTCTGAAATTAGACATGCAGCCACTCGTCATGCATCCGTGAATGCACATTAACCTGGAATTAAACCATCTTCAAAGAACTCGTCTCCTTTGTCATTAAAGGAAACATCATTTTTGTTATGCTAAACAATGTATGTTACATAAAAATCAAATCAGATATTTAAACTTTAAGCTGTGTAACACACTTCTGAAATATAAAGCTAAGAAATTCAAGCCTTTGAGACCATATGAGCAGGAAGATAAATACAGTTATTTTTAATAAGTGTCGTCATATTAAATTCAGGAGCAAAAATAGGAAGGTGCTGAACAGTTCTAGGGTGAGACTTCCAAATGCCTAAGGGTATGGCTACACAAACAAGCTCCTGTGAGGCAAATTAGGACTGATTTTAGAGAATATTAGCTATTGTAGGGTAACTGTGTGTAAGCTCGTTTCCCATATGTAATTTTTCAGCATTTTAGAGGGACACCATCTGTCAGCATGGTGTTGCTGTGCACTAGCTTGCACTGGTATAAGGCCACGCTCTTGCTTTCTTGGACAAACTCTTGCTTGCCTTGCAATAATTTGTTAACATAGTTATACCCCTGGTGAAAATCAAGGAGATATAGGAGTCCAGGAACCTAAAGTACTTCTGAAAACAGTGTGGGCCTCAAAGTCATTAGCATGCGTCTGAAAAACTGCACCCCTAAAACTGGGAGATGTCACTGTGGAAGCCCTTGCTGATGTTTTATTGAATTTTCTCTTTTTTTCCCCGCTGTGTATTAGTGCAGTAAGTAGGGATTTCCAGGGTCACCTATTTCAGCTTCACCAGCCCTTTCTTTTTGAGCTGCACTGACTCCTAGAGAGCTACCAGGGGTAAAAAGGCATCCTTAAAGAAAGGCCACCAAATGTTTGGAGTCAGAGCAGGGTGATTCCTGACTCGACTCAAAGCAGATCTACTGGGACCGTTCACTTTTAGGAGCAGAAGTCCTGCCTGGACATGCTTTTCTGTCTCCATGTAGAACAGCACCTTTTCCCTAGGGTGGTGGCTATGAAGTTCATGCTGCATGCTCCTATTGACTTTCTTGGCTTTCTTGAAAGGGAAGACAGTGCTGGCTGGAAGACCTAGTGTGTTATTAATAGTTTAGCAAATAAATGGATATCTCCTCTCCCCTAGGGACTAAAGGGAGACATTGGACCTGCAGGTATCATGGGTCCACCTGGAAGGCCTGGTCCTTCTGGCCAGCCGGGCCCCCCTGGACCTTCAGGATCAGGTAAGCAGGAGATGGGGTGATTTCCTAAACCATGTCCCCGCTCCCCAGCCCTTCCTGACTCATCACATATGCCTACATAGGCCCCTTTACAAAAAGTTCTGCAGGGCTTCGTTTGCTTCTCCACTGGCAGCAAGGAGAGGATTTCTTCTGAAGGCAGGTCATGCCATCCTGGTCCTTTATAAGACCTCTATACCTTACCTTAAAGCCTACATCATGGCTTCTGATGTTTCAAATAAAACTGAAAACATGGCCTGTGTGGTACCTGTGGGACTTTGGTAGATGGGGATGATGAAAAGCCATCTGGCAGCCTTGGAAGGACTAGTTAATCTCCATCATCAAAGGTCTGCTGTTTCTCCAGATATCCTGGTTTACAGTGAAAGATTGTGATTTCTAATCAGTCAGGACATACTCACCCTGTGCAGCTTTGTAAAAAAAAAAACAGATGAGACTCAAGTCACAAGAGCAGTAAGGAAAAAAGGAAAGAGAAGGAAAGGGATAGAAGTCAGAGGGAAAAAAAGGGTGATGAAAAAAACCTCTCTCCTTTTAGTTAAGTGCTGTAGATCTATGCTCCCTGCAATTGTGCGTGAAATTATGAGAAAAATCTAACCGATAATTGTACAGCTTCAAAGCTATGCACACACATGAACTCTAGGCAGCTTGTGAGACCGAGCATAGACGTGAATGACAATACACGACCCACAGTGTTCAGTGACATTGGACCCTCAGGTAGGGTTTTCTCAACTCAACTATATACTAAAGTACCTAAAAAAAAAAAACCAAAACCAGTTGGAAACTACTGTTGCCTCAAATGGAGAACAGCTACTTGTACTGCAGCCAATCTGTTCAATGTCCTCTCCCATTTTGCTTTTCCCTCTCTTACATCAGTAGGCAGGAGGTCGCTTTCTTCTGGTGGTCTGGAAATGGTACATCAGTGAAGCTGGGGCTGCTTCAAAATCTTCATGTCTCATGTCTGACATTATGAAACATCTTTTTCCTGACTAAAATAGCTGGACATTTTCAGAGGGCAGAATTTTCACCATGCCTATGGGATGGCAGCCAGAATCTTGAGATTACTTTCAGAGGTTTTATTCCATCCACAAAAAGTTTATGTGTCAGGCTTGTTAATCTTTTTCCTCTAGAATATAAATTCTGATCCTAAATGATCTTTCTGTAATGATGTCACTGCTTGCAGTAAGAACATGTTGGCTCATAGTCTAATTCTGCAGAGTAGCACATCCTTGCCGAAGTTTGAAAGTCAAAAAGCAGTGATTTTTTTTTTTTTTTTTTTAGATTTTATTCGTAGCACTCCTATATTTCTGGTTGGGTTTTCTTGTCCAGAAACCTCTGAAACAGCATTACTCAAGTGGTTGCACAAATGCACAAGCCCAATGAGATGTGGATGTCTACAGAGTCTGACTCTACTAAACGTGGTGCATAGGTGCTGTAGAATGATCTGAGTGTTCATCATTACCTGAATTTCTGTAGCTTCAAACAGACTGACGTTTATGTGAAAATCCTAAGCAAGTGGCCTCTCTTTTTCTCTGTAAAGTTGGTAGAAAAATTTAAAAAGTGGTCTGAAAAAAATTACTGTGGTACAAACCCTCATCTTTCTTCTGAAGTGCTGAGATTGGTGGTTTTGGTAATCACTTCCTTCAGTTCCCAATGGATTTCGTGGGAGATGTGCCTCTCTGAAAATTTGCATAAATGTATATATCCACCTGACCTCTACTTTTTCCACTAAGGCTGCGTTTGTGTGGCGTATGTTAACTTCATAACAAAGCAACCTGGCATTTTGCTTCCTAGGGCAATTCGCAATAGGACCAAAAGGGGAAAGAGGACTTCCAGGGCCTCCAGGGAGATGCCTCTGCAGATCCCCACATCATGTGAATAACCCACCATATGAGGAACCTGTGTTTGGACACAGTTATCCGAAAGTCCCTGCGGTGAGCAGATTTTCTGAGAGAGGATGTGAGCGGTTCTTAAGTACTTTTATTGTAAGAGGTAGTGTACTTACCATTATTTTGGATTTAACAGGAAAGATGTCTGCATGGGGGCAACATGATATTTCTAGTATCCACCACCTCTGAGATGCAGTCAGTGCAAAAGTCTGGTCTCATAACCCTTTCTGAGGGTTGTGTGATTGAGGTGCTGAAATGCAGCCATTTCAAACCATCGGTCATGTAGCACATGTTTAGAAACCTTTTTTCAAGTCTAAGGATGCTCTCTTCTATCTGCTACTGTAAATACATAATATGTTCTATTTATTTCAGTAAATTGAAACGTATTTCAGATTGGTCAGTGAAATAAGCATCTCTTTCTTGCTTATTTTTAATAAGCAAGACTGTCTGCAAAGACAGTGATTTCAGAATTAAATGTTGAGGTCAAGCATTCCACATATACAATAGAACTTTCTCCCAAAGCACAGACCTTGAACCAAAAAGGAGTCTCCACGAAGCATGGGAGTCAGGCTTCTGAGCTCCTGTCTGTAGACATACACTTTACATAGCTAATGTCAGTCTCTCTCCTTCTGGAAAGTGTTTTCCCGAGCAAATTGAACAAAGTTCTTTAAAGGACAAGTCATTGGTGGAAAGTGACCTAGCAATCTTTCATCTCTGATTTCTTTGGGCTTTGTAAATACTGTTTCTGTACTTTTCCTTCTGCTGGTCCTTGCCTTATTATTCTGTTCGTTGTAGCATTTAATCAACAATGAAAATGCTACCATGCTGCTGTGTACCAGCATAGCCCAGCCACTCCGCTCATGCAAGCAGATATTGCGGGTGTCTGGTCGTCTCTGAATGACAAAAAGCAGCGATTAGCTTTGTTAACTTTCCCATCTGTCCTGTTGTCAGAAAGCTGTTACAGTGTGTGAAAAGGACATACTCAAACACTGGCCATTAAACTGGGTCATTGAACTCAATCTTTTGCATGAGCTACTGCAAGTCTTGTCAGCTGCTCACTCATCCCTGTCTGTGCTGCATTACAAAAAAGCCCCATTATTCTAAAAACTTAATGGTGAGAGAAGAACGTGCATGAAATATCAGTACTTAAAAGGGGCCTACAAGAAAGCTGGACAGGGACTTTCTACAAGGGCATGTAGTGATAGGACAAGGGGCAATGGCTTTAAACTGAAAGAGGGGAGACTGAGATTAGATCTAAGAAAGAAATTCTTTACTATGAGGATGGTGAGGCACTGGAAGAGGTTGCCCAGAGAAGCTGTGGATGCCCCATCCCTGGAAGCGTTCAAGGCCAGGTTGGATGGGGCTTTGAGCAACCTGATCTAGTGGAAGGTGCCCTTGCCCACGGCAGGGGGGTTGGAACTAGATGATCTATACGGTCCCTTCCAACCCAAAACATTCTACAATTCTATGAAATATAGGTGCATATCATATGCTGCACACTATTGCGAAAAACTATCATGTACTTCACGGCATGGAGACCTTATAGGATAAGGTATAAGGCTCGTAATGTTCTGTGTAGATCTTATCACCCTCCTTCTCCATCAGACAGAGTTTCATACCAGATCTTAAAAAATTGTAATGAGAGTGTAACTACCTAAAATACAAGTACCCTACACTATCACTATGAACCATCATGTTATGGTGATCAAGTGCCATTTTGTTCTCAGAAACACAGAACAGCAAAGAAAGAAGCTCCAGCTCTCAAAGTGGAGCGTTTGCAGAGCTGTGCTCCCCGTTTTCCTGCCCCATTTGATTTACTCCCTTGAGTGTCAAGAGCAGGAGCTTAAACGCTGCTATTATTTATTCTGTTCAGATGCCCGTGTAGCAGCTTTGAAGCCTGCCTTGTACCACTGGGAAACTATTGTCAGGGTTTCTATAGCTGCGCATGGATAAGAGCCAGTGCTCTGTGTCCCCAGTCCCCGTGTCGGTGTGCTCTGCCAAAGCAATGTCTTACTGCGGCACGTCCTGGTGCAATCACCCACTTGCCCACCAATTCCTCCAGTGCCAGCCCTGCCAGAGGAGGGGAGAGGCTAGGAAACAAAGTACTGTTTTTCTGTCACTGGCTAAGATTCATTCCAGTTTTTAACTCTTGCCATTTCAAAGGCCAGTGTCTGTAACACAGAGTTTCAGACAGCACAGATCTGCCATTGATTTCCAGAGAAATGAGAGCTCTGGGGCTGGAACTTGAGCTCCTGAGCACAATTACAGAATCGGTTCTTTGCTGGCTTTCTGTTTCTTTGCTTGCTTTCATTCAAGCTGAAGGCCTTTTTAGTCAATGCTTTTTTAGTGAAAATGGTCTTTGTCGAGGGCTATGGGAATATTCTGCTATGTAAAAATTTCAAGGTAATTTGTTTTAAAACGAGCCAGTTCTGTTTATCTTGTGGGAATCAGGCGCAGCCCTAAATCCATTTTGCTCAGAAGCACTCCATTTGCTTTTTCTTAATTTAAAAATGGTTTGAATCTTGCTAAAATTAATTTGATTAAGCTGCTGAAGGAAGAGATTATTTCCTAATGCTCCTTACAGCCAATTTCAGTGGCTGAGACATTTAAAAAATTGGTTAGAGAGCAGTTGGTCCTAATTTTTCCATTTTGAACTAATTCTTTTCTGTTTAATTGAAGACTTGGATTTACACTAAAGTATATACATGTAAAGAAACATGCATTTCAATTGCAAATAAATCTAAATAAAGTACAAAGTAGTAAAAGCTAAGCAAAGACTGCATTGAGCAATGCATTATTTATTTTGTAGCCATAAGCGTGCCTGAAATATTACAGACAAACCCACAAAAAGCATTTATGCCCATATGGATTTAGCAATTGTTCCAGCATCTAACCATTTAAGCATCGTGAAATTTTTTCATGGCAAGGACTGTGCACAAGTGTTTGCATGATCATTGCCTGTGGATGTGAATTCTGAAATCGGGGCCATTGGAGCCATAGCTAGGGGCTCAAGAAAGACCATTCTCCTCTGGAAATCTGTGTCTCTTCTTACCAGTTGCAAAGGAACCTCTTACAGTTTGGCAGTCTGTGAGTGTAAAAGTTCTCACCCAGGGCTGGAACATCATTCTGTTTCTGAAAACAACTGAACCATTTTTCTGTGCAATTATTTACTTATTTGCTGATACATATGTCAGTTTACAAAACCAGATTCCATGACAATCCAAAATATTTATTGAGAAGATTACCAATCACCTCTTTTTCTGTGCCCCAGATTTTTGTGGTGAACAATCAAGAAGAATTGGACCGGTTAAACACTGAAAATGCCTTAGCTTTTAGAAGAGATCAGAGATCTTTGTATTTCAAGGATACCTTTGGATGGCTCCCAGTTCAGGTGAAAATATGACTGTGGTCTCAGAAAACTCGTGAGTGTATATTTCATTTTTAAATACAGAACATACTTCTGTACTTAAGGTGTCGTACAGAATCAATGAAGCAAATGGAGAAAAACCTCATTTTTGAGCACTGCCACAACTGTACCTAATTCTGTGATTTTTGTTCACAGGAGTCATAGTTACTGAGGCGTTAACACATCAGTGTTGCAGGTTTTGCTAACCTCCCTGTGAACCAGGCTTCACTGGTGAACAAACTGGGGCTGAATTTGGAGAATTACGATACTAAAGAGCATTTTTTATTTAATACAGAATAAGGCAAAACTCACCAGAGTACGTGATTGTGGGAGAACACAAACCCTGCAAACCCAAACCATGTATTTCCTTATTGCTTCAAGGAGCTAAGCTAAGTCCT